TTTCAATATCAGTTCTTTTATTCATTGTTCTTCGTGATTGATATGTATCATTTCCAAAAATATTCTTTTAGTTGTATTGATTTCCCTATCTAAAAATATGTAAATGTTGTTTTCAGGAAGTCGGAATACGAAATGTATTTTAGTGAGCTGGGAATGTCGAATATCGTAATATTTTCTGATAGGCTCATAGATACTCCCGCAGATGCTAACTATATGGAAGAAGTCGTTGCAGTTTTTGCTACTCCTCCTAATAGCTACTCCGCTGTAGCGGACCCTATAGACTTGGTGAGATTTTTCAAAAGAGTAACTCGATGCAAAATGACTAATTCAATAGAGATCAATTCATACGGAAGAAATTATGCGAAAACAAACAATTTCCGTGTAAAAAATGTCAGTATATTATAGTACAATTATTGATACTCCTTCATCTCAGTAATTCATCTTACTTGATGCAAAATTACTAATTCAATAGGAATCAATTCACACGGAAGAAACTATACAAAAATGTAATGTTATTTCAATAAACAATTTGGGTAAAAAATGTCAGTATATTAAGAGTAATTCTTGATACTCGTTCATCTCACTAACTTACTTTAGGTATGCAGTAGAGGTGGTGATCTTTCGATGCTGGAAGTATTAACAGAATCAGGAGACAGTAAAGAAGCAAGAGAGAGGGTTGCCAACATTCTTGAAGAGCAAAGGAAAACACTTAGGTTTGCGATGTCTAGGCCACAGGTGGACACTCTTGAGTCATTGATTATTGTTGTATTAGAATGAAATTTGTGTTACAGATACAATTTGTACTCTATGAGACTCATTCTGAACTTGAAGCAGAAAATTCCTTCATGGTAAAGAAAGCTTTGAGAGAAATAAATAGAATAGCTAAATTACAACACGCCGCTTTACAAGGCAAAATTCTTGATAGCAAGACTCAAGAAACACCAGTGAGTAGTAATCTCTCAGAATGAAGTAAGATTATTCCTGATATTTCAGGAACAATCAGAAATAAATAACAACGAGAAAGTGGAAAAAACTCAAGAAGATGAAATTGAACAACCCGAATCTTCAGCTGATGAATCCACTTCATCAGAAGACATAGTTGATAACAAAGAGAAAATGTTGGACACCCTAAACGTAAGTTTAAATAATATGTCATATATCACTCGAAATCTGGTTTACACAGTTTTATCAAAAATAGCTGTTTGTGTATTATATTAGCTCAAAAATTGGTTTTGAAAAATGAACTGTTGGAAAATATTTTGAGTTGGGGTGATATCCGTTATTCCCCAAAATAATGACGAAAGAGAAAACAATGGTTAAAATTATGTCAAGAACGAGAACATTAAGGGACTTACTTTGATTTCTCGTGGTCGTCTGCGTGAAGAATAGCGTTGGAAAGGTACCTTTTTGAGGAGTGGATTCGCTTCGTTGAAGGCGATATTCGCTCTTGATAATGACATTCATAAAATAAAACACTTTCGATGGCCACAAATATATTACGCGTTATTTTCAATGACGATTACTTCGAGATGAGCACCGGAGTTCATTCCGTTAGATATTGGACAAAAATCTTTTTTTTTTGTTATACCCTGTTTTTTGCCTTTCAAAAGATCATGAACGTCTCTTGTGGGTGGAACGTTTCTTTGGCCCCTTAATGCTCGATACAGCGCGAAATATTTATATTTACAAAATAAATTAAACTGATTCACCAATTGAGCTTTCCCAAACAAGCTTTATATATCATCGGTATACGATAATGCTAAAAAATTAAACGGAATTTTATATCACAGGACGGTAGCCGGTTGGGTTGGCGTGAGTGGTTTGTTCCACTCCTTCAATCGACTACTAAGTGAAACAGTGGTTCGACCTCATACTCCGGACTCAATTCAGTGGTGTTATGCGACCCGTGGCGAAGAATGAATTGTACATGGACCTTATTTGTAGCGAAGGAGCCTCTAGGATATCATTGATTTGGTACTGAGACATATCTATGCAGAAAACTCCTTGAATGTGGACAACCCTTCTCCTCATACCATAAGTACAAACAGACACGCAATCTGAGGGACGCTTCTGACTAAACAAATAGAACAATGTACTATTCTCTAACAACACAAAAATAATAATAATAATAAGCAGGGCACTAACACCCTTGGCCTTTGGTGAGTTGCGACACCACTTGCAACTGGTGCAAAACCGGACCCGCAGCCCAGGCGCACGCACACAAGAAGAACACTATTCTCCCTTCGGTGCCGGCCGTGGGTCCACAGGGCTAACCACCCGATGGACCTAAAACTTGGTTCCTAGTAATTGATGAGGAGGCCCCCACAATCGACCCTCACGGAGGGGTCAGAGGCAAGGTGGTGGGGCCCATAACGATGATTTTCCTTACGATGACAACCCTGGCAATGACAACGGACGCTTTGAGTGGACGCATTAGCTAAGAGATATCATTATGAATGCGAAGAGGGTACACGGCGAGATTGCATGCTCTGTGGTGTGAAACACATCCGGAGCATGCCGCCTTTTCCGCCCAAAATCTTAGGGATTACGTATCCTATTTCAGACGGCAGGGCTAAATAGTTCCGACCCAGCCTGCTTTCGAAGTCGTAAAAGTGAAAATTCTACCACTTGTTGACACGGCTAGTTGGCCATCAATGGAGTCAATCAGAATACGCAGGGCGCTCCACAGAATAAGGCCCCTGAAGCCACAAGAACTGGCTTGTTTGGATGAGAAGGTACATAGTGTTCTAACAGAAGAAGCTGACATCTGGCAAATCAATACCGCCGTGTATAGCGTCGTCCAATCGCTTTCCGAATCGGAATGACAAAATCCCGGCCTAGCGATTCGAAAGATTGACCGGCGTGTACACAAGATGGAGGCTAAGATCACGCGTTTCGTATTCAATGTGTGATGGATTACAGGGCGGCCAACAGGCCTTTCACGCCCGCAGTGCGGAGGATAGCCGCCAAACTATGACGTATCCATCACACTTCTTCAAGTCAAGGTGTGCTGCTGACCATCAAACAGCACTGCCTTGATAGGATACGAATGCTAGTGGCTGCTAAGAAGTCACTAATGAGGCGAGCGAGAAGTATCGCGGAAAACTTTAGGTTCCGCGAGAAACCTTCTCGCTTATTCCAAGAGCTTCTACGTGTTGTGGATAATCCGCCGACCGCTGATCAGGTGAAATCCTTCTGGAAGGATATTTATGAACACCCGCAGACACTCAACTTAGACACTCCAGCCCTAGCGCAGTTCGAAGCTTTCAACAGAGAGCTTCGACATCCGAGCTCAATGAACTGCGCAACCCGATAACTCTGGATGACGTTCGAAGAGCCCTTGTGGGTTCCAAGAACTTTGTTGTTCCTGGCCCAAATGGGCTGAACACTTATTGGTGGATTACCGTAAGGCATTTGAAACAATATCGCATGAGCTCAACTTGCATTTGCTCAGATACCTTGCGGTATCCGACAAAATAGTGAGATACATTGAACAACTGGTACCACTCTGGCGAACTCGCTTCACCATAACATCTGGTCAACCCAGAGTCCAAACAGGGTGGGTTTCGCTCAGAAATACTGTGACGCCTCCGGAAACCGGAGAGATAAGGTCAACCATCTATTTTATATTGATGATCTGAAACTTCATACCTCTGGAGAGGAGGATATTCATCAGTCCTTGAGGGTCGTGGAAGAGTACACGCATGCTATCGGTATGAAATTCGGGATAGACAAATGTGCAATGGTCCATCTCAAAAGAGGACGATGCGGAGACTACGGAGAGGATGTGCAGCTCGTACATGAAAGCATCCTACACCATTTGGATGCCGGAGAGACGTATACTCACCTCGGGGTGGAACAACGCCACTCACAAGAGGTACCAGCAGTTACCAGCACAAACTTCGACAGATCTGGTCATCGGAACTGTCAGGGAAGAACAAAGTTGCTGCAACAAATATGCTTGCTGTTCCAATCTTAATCTACTCATTTGGAGTAGTAAAGTGGACTCGGGAGGAGCTGTATCAACTCAACGTAAAGACCCGAAAAATGATGCATCGCTGTAGGAGTTTGCATCCCAAATCATCCGTTCCATGGTTGTACTTCCCCCCGACAACAGGGAGGCCGTGGACTTTCGAGTTTGGAGTGTCTACACGACAGAATGGTACTGGATATAGCCTGTCAAGTCGTCAGGAGTTCGGATCCCCTTCTCTGCATGGTCCGTGACCATGAAAGAGCAGGAATTGGAACATTTCTCTTTAGGGCAGCGGCCTGAGCAGCTGACGAACACGGTTTAGTTTTCGACATTGAACTAGGTGAGTACAACTCTGTCACCGAGTTGGAACCCATCCAGCAAAAAGCTCATATAAAAGACACAGAGATCACCTCACTTCTGCGGAAACACAAGGATAAGCCAGTGCATGGGGTCTTTTTCAACATTGAAAACCTTGGCTTATCAAAGCTCCTAACTTTCGCTTTCCTCAGGTCGAGTAGGCTGAAGTCGAAAACTGAGGGGTTCATCACGGCTTGCCAGGATGGTGCCTTCAACACCTTAGTCTACCGCAGTCGCGTGATGGGTATAGAGGTTCCTGACACAAGGTGCAGTGCCTGCCGCGAGGCGCCCGAGACCCTCATGCACTTGCTCCAGCATATGCGGTCTCGGCCTATATCCATCGACATAACGTGGCCCTAAGAGTGCTATATTACCATCTACCGCACTCTCACGGTACTGACGAGACACCGGTGTTGCCCTACGCTCCGGGGGATATTGAATCCGTTGTGGGGAACAAGAAGTGCCGAATTTATTGGAACAATTTGTTTCTCACCCTCAGGCTCATACAAACTTATGAGCCTGAGGTATTCCTTCTCGACCACCAGAACAAGATGATATTTGTTGTGGAGTTTTCAGCTCCTGGCGAGACAAATATCATCCGAAGAAAGGATGAAAAACAGATGAAATATCAGAATTTCCTTTTCGAAATCCGCAGACTCTATCCAAACCACTCTGTCAAGATGATTGGTTCTGATTATTGGGGTCCTTGGTGGGATGATGCCCTCTCTATTCTCGAATCTCAAAATCATACAGGCGTGCCGCACTAAGGCAGAAATCTGAGCCGGACAGATGCAGAAGGCTGTCATTCTTCGCACACAGCGCTTGCTCAGGGCACATGATTCTCGGACCCAATGATCACTAACCTCACGGTATGGGGAGTGGTCGTTGGTTGATAATGCTGGAGCGCTTTCACGAATGTATTGAAGCTTCGGGGGATAGGGCCTGACCAGCGCATACTACGGTAAAAAATAATGATAACAATAATGATAATGAGTCCACTTGCTTTCAGCATGTCCAGCATATATGCGGTATCAGCCTGTATCCATCCCTAAGCCCTAAGAGCACTTTATCAACACCTACGGCACTTATGCGGTATTGAGGAGACACCGCTGTTGCCCTACACTCTGAGGGATATTGAATCCATTGTGAGGATCGAGAGGTGCCGAATTTTGTTCGTTCTCCACCCTTAGGCTCATACAAGCTAATAAGCCTGATGTAGTTCTTCTCGACCATCAGAGCAAGACGATATTTGTCGCAACTGACGAGACGAACATCTTCCAAAAAAATGGAGGAAAACAGGATAACATATTTTCAAACTCCACAGACTTTATTCAAACTACTCTGTCGAAATGGTTGTTCTGATTATTAGAGTGCTTGGTGGAATGATGCTCTCTCCACTCTTGAATCCCACGATCATACCGGCTTGCCGCACTAAGGCAGACATCTCAGCCGACAAATACAGAAGGCTTAGCTTATTGAACTTGAGTAGGGCACATGATTCTTGGACCCAATGATCCCACCCAACCAATGACCATTTCCCACACCGTGGGTTAGTGGTCATTGGTTGATGATGCTGGCGTGCCCTCACGAATATATCAGGGCTTTGGGGAATAGTTCCTGAACAGCGCAACCTTAGGTTGTCTTACAGTAGACGCGACGCGTAATGGTTTACTGCGTTGCGTCAAGTCAACCTTATCGTGATAACTTTTAAACTATTCGTCCATATTACTTAGTGTGAAAGACAAAGTTTATCTATATTAAATACATAAAACGACAATTGTATGAATTTTTTTAAGAATTTTATAGATATTCTGAAATGTGCATTGTAAAAAAGTATCCAATTCAATTGTATTTATGTCTCAGTATTTTGCATATAGTGGCTACGACATACGAGGTAGATATATGCTATCGCAGACTTTTATTTAGAACTATTTAGGATAAACAATCTTACGGTANTTAGGATGAGGTTCATAAGAGTGCTCTTGAATGATTTCGTAATTTTTCAAGCTCTTTCTGAAGCTTCAGCTAACAAAGGAAGTGGGAATGAGAGTTATCATATAATTTTCAAGTAAATAATCATAATATTTTTGCAATTTATCAGCTTGAGGTAGTTTTTCAAATATATCCAACTTCAGTGTCACTATTTTTCGGGTCGAAGACCTTGGATTTTTGGAATATCGTCCTGACGTTTCACTGGCGCGAGTAGCTAGCTTCTTCAGAGGTTTATACATGAATAAAAATTACGGTTTCGTAATGCATGTTTATGCTGTGTCGGGTAGTTTGCTAATAAATGTACCAGACACAGCATAAATGCGCGTTACGAAAGCGTAATTTTCAGTTATCGGATAGTAATCCAGAATGTATAAACCTCTGAAAAAGCTAGCCACGCGTTCCAGCGAAACGTCAGGAAGATATTACAAAAATCCACGGCCTTCGAACCCGAAAAATAGTGACACTGAAAACCTTGGCCGCGAAAGTCTTGACCATTTTGTCATATCCAACTTCATTAGGATCTAAATATGTCTAAAACTGAACATAGCAGCCATTTCCTCTTTTCAGAATATTCAACAAATAGCTTTTGAATTTTAGATTTTGGTACATATCGCTAACAGCAGAGAGAATGGCTGCCTCGAAATAAGAAATTATATATTTAGGAACCAATGAACTATGACCTAAATCTTCATATATATCAATAACTCAAACAACTTTTCGAAGGTATTTTTTCGTTAGGTGATTTTTCATGTTCGCGAACCACGAAATTATGAAATCCTATTGTGTTACATGCAGCTTCACAATTTTTATTTACCATCGCCATAGTTTTCCACCGCTGAGTAAAACACCTACTTTCATAAATTCGAACTTTTTTACAAACATAACTTTTGTACTACCGGTTTTTCATGAATTCTTTTTTTATGATTTATTCTCAACCAATGAAAATTTCTATAAGAAACAATTCATAAAAATTGATGAAGAAGCGCAATAAACCTGAAATGTTATTTACCTACCCTATATTTAAATTAAGTAATTATCGAATAGAGTCTCAGGCGCAAAATGTGCACATAGACAGGGAAAAAGAATTACTATATATGAGGTACTCTTTTTACCGACAATTTCACTGACTTATCACCGGAATCGTTCAAACAGTAAATTTAAAACACCTTCAAATAAGTTCAAAATGGACAAACTTTTCGTAATTTAACCGTCTTTGTATCTCTTACAGTTTTCGATTTTCCCATGCTGACCATCCTTATCTTGCAAATGTTCTAAAAAAACAGCTCTTTCATCATTGATGTAATCAAAGCAGGTCCATAATAATTTCAGGTGCCAGATACGGATATTTTCGACTTACCCGAGTTGCCAAGACTATGTTCTAATGAAAACTGTAATAATTTCGAAAGAGAGGGCTGTTACCTCGCCCTTCTTCAGAGAAAGGTATGAATAGTCATTCACGTTTAATGAAAAATTATAATTTGAAAACACTTTAGCAAGTAATTCGGCTAGACGATAAATATATGATACAGATGGCAGAAAACAGAGGTTTATTTGGAAGTAATACGACCACGAGCACCTCAAAATCGAAGTCAAGTCGAACCGCCAAGAAAAAACAGGAAATACGTGAAAAACAGCAGAGGCCAAGGAAAAAACTAAAGGAGTCTGAGGTATTATTACAATTAATATAATGAAAGTATAATATTTTATAGCATCTCATATAGACATTATTCAATTAGTGTTAAAAACAGCTGAAATATTCTATCAGCACNATAATTTTTGAGAAAGAACGGTTTTGGCTTTCCATTTGTCCATATTTATGCAAACAAATGTGGGAATCTACATTAACTGGATTCCGAATTTGAAATTCTTGGTAAACAGAAGATTGAGTTTGAATTGTTTAGCAATATAAAGATTCACTTACTCAGAACAGTTCTGACCAAAAAAATATAGGTATTCATCAATCGAATAATTTCAGTATATATAATGTGATATTGCATCGGGAGACGTTGAAAAAAGCAGTACATTGATTGACCATATAATTACCAATTGAAGAGAGTGTGAGTGAGAAAAAAGAATGTATTTGAAAACTTTTTGTTGAATTCAACGAAGAAAACATTAAAAGTAACCTTGTGAATCTCTAAGAAAAAAAATTCAAACAAAACCAAATATGATGGATTTTAATAGAATTCACAATAAAATTCAAAAACGATCTTGAAACCATGGTTTGATGATGAAATTTCAAAATCAATAAAAATCTAAGACAAATATTTTGCCAAGAAAAAATAAACTCCATTTTGGGATAATGTATGATAACTTGTATAATAAATCTGTTGAGAAATCAGTTAAATATGCGCAAAAACAGTTATATGATAAGGAGTTTGCACAATCAACAACTAAGTCAACATGAAGAACCATCAACTCAATTATAAATTTCGGTTAAAAGGAAATAATCAGTTCTAATAATTTGAATGGAAAGAGGACACAAGACACTACTGAAATTGATGAGAGTGTCAATGAGCACTTTGTAAACATTCTTTCAAAACTATTATCCATCATTGTGGATGCGAAGGTTTTGCCATCAAGATCTTCAGATGATGTGGTGCTGCAGGTTTTTCCGGGTTTTCCTGGAGCTGAAAAAGCAAATGCGCCACTGGAATCAATGAAGTCGCCCCGGAGCGCCAATTAATTTTTATTGTTGTATTTATTTTATTTTTATCGTTGTTTCAACATATTGTTACGAGTGAGATTATTGCATTAAATTCATTTATTATATCCAGATCAATATGGCTTTGGAAGGTCTAGCTAGTGATACAGATTGTGCCGCTTTGGATATGATATCTAATATTCAGTCATAATTAGATGAGCATAAATTTAGTTTTTTTACAGTTTTTTTATCATTTGATAGGTGATGCATTTGCATGGTTTCAAAATGATTCAAGTATATATTCGACTTCCCCTTTAACAAGATATTTTTCTGGTGAAACACTAGGCTAATGAATACAATTTTCAATACCGTTGACACTAAAATGAAAAAGAAGATAAGAACTGAAAGTAGTTAATTAACAATTGCAAAATTTCACTAGAAGCGTCTGTATGAACTTATGAATATCAATTATATTCAGTAGAATGAAAACACTTTTTGATATGCAACAGCTGGCTTCAAAGTACCTAACTTTACTGCACAACACTAGCCGCTTAAAGTCTTGTTTTCAACATCAAATCAAAACTATCAATATAGAGATGGTTCCGGATGAATTTTCTTTGACATTTTTTATGGCTATAAAAGTTTCTGGTTGATTCGCATAAAAACTAGATATCTTTCTTGTGCACATTGCAAAAATTGAACCTGTGTACTAACTAGTTCAATGCCCTATTCTAAAATGAACAGTTCTTTTCAAAACTCTTTGAAAAATTTATGACAAGAGCAAATTCTCGTCTCTACTACAACTTTCCCAACTACTTCATCACCAAGTTCATTTGTACAAATTGCATTTCATTTACGACGATTTTGAAAATTACTTCAGTAACTATGGATGTTCCATTGAACGATTAAAAATTTATAACCTCTCAAGCTCACGTATAGCACATCACCCAATTTCCTTCCCTATAGCTCAAAGACGCATGTTCATGGCAAACTATCCAAATCATGTTCATTGCGAAAAAGAGGTAAAAGGATTGTGCTTGAATGTATCGCTCTTAAGTTCGGCAATTTTTTCAGATTGATCGGATTGCCGCTCCAACTCATGCTTTTCTGTTGCATACAAAGCCTTTAGAAGATGTGGAGATATGTAGAAAATATGAAAATGGAAAATCAAAAACCACCATTTACAGAAATTGGTGGCGACAAACAACAAGGCACATTTTGTCATTGAAGAAAACCCTCCTCAAACAGAAGTGTCTGCCCAATTTGCAGCATCGCAATTCAAACGTCAAGGCAGTAGTCAACAGTTTCTGGAAACATATGCCCAGGTGATTATAACTATATGTTCATTTCAGTATCAATGTTGAAATATGTGGTAGTACGATAATACGATAGTTTTATTCGTCATTGTGATTTGAAGAAATTGAAAAGAATGAAAGTTCCAAAATATATTTTCAATTATCATAATTGATAGTTCAAGTCCAAAAATAGAAATACATACTACTACTTCAATAACACTTAAGCTTTTCAGCTTTTCACCTCTATATAAAAATTGTGAGAAACTTTCGAAGAAAGGGAGAAAGTTATTTACTTAAAAATAAACTCAATACAAATGTGTGTAGCAGATCATGCATTAAAATTAGTTTCAGTTACTGAAAAAAAGTCATAAAACAACTTCCTCAACATGAATATCGAATTACACAAAAGAAACAGTTCGTTCGAAAAAACTACTTCCGTATGAACAATATGAAGATTTGATTATACGAAAATTACTTTTTTCCTATTCAGTTAGTTTGTACTCCAAACATTTGTAATGGAATTGAATCAGACATCAGTTGTCAAAATGCTACACAATATACGATAAGAAATTTCACTTACTTGGAACACTAATATACTCAATACTGGCTTCGAAGTTTAGGAATAAAAACACTTCATCATAGTGTTCCATGTAAGTGGAATTTCATATCGTTACTATATCATATATTAAATTGAGTAGCGTTTCTATGAATATCTGTTTCAATTCCACAATGAATGTTCGGTGTACAAACTAAATGGGGAAAACTTATTTTTGTATAATTCACTGTTCATATGCAAGTAGTTGTTTCAAAAGTACTTTTTCTTTCGTGGAATTCAATGTTATTGCAAAAATAGTTGTTCCAGGAAGACTTTTTCTTCTAGTTTGTGTCTGAAAGTAACTTCTATGCATGACCTACACATATTTTTGGATTCCTACCGTTTTTACTCCCATTGTGTTCTTGGGGCAGTGGCGGGTGGCGGTGCGGGCATTGCAAAAACGATGCATTGAACGATGCTAAAACTAATCGCTGAACAAAAAAGACATAACCTAGCTCTCGGACAACAACAAAATCAGGAAAAGCATATTATCTAAGACCGTATAAAGGATATGGCTTACGAAAAAAAAAATATTAAAAAAGCCAAAAGGGTTTCAACAGCAGCAACTATACTGGAAAAAAACGAGAAACTAAAATGCCCTCGACGTAAAATGTCCGATAGGGATCTCATCACGTATACAAAAATATTGAAAATTCCTCATCAAAGAGGTGTTTTTATACGTGATTCATTACCATGGAGAATTGCATCAAATGAATGTGGTATAGTGAATCTTGATGTACAAAGGGGACCTGGTACCCATTGGACAGCATATTCGAATCGTAATAATAATATCATATATTTTGATAGTTATAGTAATTTACCACCACCAATTAAATTGGAAGAATACTTCAGAAGCAATGGTGATGTTATTATTGAATACAATTTCGATTCAATGCAAAAATTCAGTTCCTATCAGTGCGGACAATATTGTCTTTCATATAATCAAAACAACTAATAAATATTAATTCATTTGTTTTGGAAATCTCAGTCATGTCATATACGTTTACACTTAGCGGAGACTCATCAATTTCAAGTGATACTTTCAACCCACCATTATATCTGAACGAAAATGTTTAATATGAAATTGGATTTGTTAATTTGGATGCATTCAATAATATACCAAATATTGGTGAAACAAACAATTCATTAGAATGGGGTAACAATGATGAATTCAAATTTGAAACTCCCATAGGGTCTCATGAAATTGAAGAGATTATGAACATTATAAAGGATGAGATGTTCAGAATAGGAGAAGTAACTATCATACATTTATCTACAGACCCGAAAAAATTTAGTTTCAATTAAATGCACTGAATGGATCAATTTCAGTATCAAAATCATAAACAATATAACCGTAAGGGTGCTGGTTAAATATAGTAATTTGGTGAATTTCCGCGAAAAAACAATTACTCTTCTTTTATATCTCAGGAAAATTGAATAGATATGGTAATACAATTCCAACGATTTTATCCATACAGAAACTATAAAATACAACAGCGTCGTACAAAGAATCCAGATGGTTTTTCGATATTGATGAAAACGTTGTTTCTTGAATTCTCTCGGCTTTTACGTTCTAGTATAATGGATTTATTGAATATAACAGGTGAACCTTCCAGCGATACAACCATTGAAGATTATCAATTTCACACATATCATCAACCATATAATTCTGGAGCCCTCAAATATAATGATGAAGTTAGGATTTCCGTACAATTTTAGATGCATGTAATAGCTTAATCTACCGGGTGTCAACGAATCTATTAGACAAGTCATAATTTCTAGACTATTAGGAGAATTAAAATGAGATTTGGTATAGTTGAATGGTATGTGGAGGGGAATGTTTTCACATATTTTTTACTTTCCGGTCACTTCCGGTTTCAGCGGAAATGGCTCCGGTTCTGAATTTTTAAATGGAACACCCTGTATATTGTAACATTTTTGGATTTCTGAGACAATTCTGGATCAGAAACTGACATTTCCGGAAGTTTTTCAGCCTACTTGATTTTTTCAGAGTCACTTTTAAAATTGCATCTAGGTGGCCATGATCGGACGTAAACTAATCTATGGACCTCAGGTGATATCAGAAAATTGCAATAGCGGAGTTTTAGTGACTAGTGTGTTGAATATGAATGAGACAAGTTTACAAAATAACATTTTCGTGTCTAACTATTATTTTTCAAATGGCNTGACTCTGAAAAAATCAAGTAGGCTGAAAAACTTCCGGAAATGTCAGTTTCTGATCCAGAATTGTCTCAGAAATCCAAAAATGTTACAATATACAGGGTGTTCCATTTAAAAATTCAGAACCGGAGCCATTTCCGCTGAAACCGGAAGTGACCGGAAAGTGAAAAATATGTGAAAACTCTCCTCTCCACATACCATTTATCTGTACCAAATCTCGTTTTGATACACCTAATAGTCTAGAAGTTATGACTTGTCTAATAGATTCGTTGACACCCGGTATATTGAAGGTATAATATTAACGGATCATAGCACAGTGTCAACCTAATTTCAATTCATTTATAATTGATTTTTCATTTGTATTGGTTCTTGCAGGGATTTCAAATCATTTTATATAATATTATACAATGGAAGTCCGAACTAATAAAATTAAAAAATAATTCTTTTATAATCCATTAGATAAATTAGTGCGACAATGAGTGGTAAGTCAGTCAGTCAGATGATAGTTCAGTATAGATGCAGACTAGCTCAATTTCTACGCCAGATGACACAACTGAAGGCTGAAATTGAATATTCAGAGAAGAGAAAATTATTAAATAGAACTAGCCGATACTTGATGAAAATCCATTATAAAAAACTAATGAATACAGTTTATTGTATGATTTTCACTATGATCATAGTGAAGATAGTGAAAGTCATACAATAAACTATATTGATCAGTTCACCATTTCTCTTCAATAATCTACCGTGCGATCTGAAAAAACGAAAAACTTGGTTGATGAAAAAACATCACTACATGAATTGGAATGTAGGATTCATCCCTAAACATCAGTTTCAAAATATACGATGTCTGAACCAGGGTGCAGACGTTGTGTATGTGAAAGGTAGAGACAAATTTTACTTCATCAAGAAATACTGTTATTGTACGGTTTATGAATTTAATGAACATCCTGCACTAGAAAAAGAAGACCTTCCACAATCTGAAAAAATAAAAGAAAAATTAATAGAGAATCTGCTGGAGTGTAGTAGAGGGCAAACTGAAAAATCCACCCCAAAAAGTCAATGCATAATATAAACTACTGGTAATTAGTTAGTAACTTATATTCATAAATTTTGCCTACAAATTGAAAAAATTAAATATTGATACTTAGCTATTTTGAGTGGATAATGTTTCGAGAAACAATCTTTTTCCGTTTTCAAAACCTATATTCACTATGAAAATCTCGCCTCAAACTGATATTTCTAATTTCTTTTGATACATGTGTATTTGCTCTATCAAATGTGTACATAAAATTCCTAATGACTGATGATGATAAATATGTAATGAAACAAAAAAAATGTTTTTATTACAAGTCAAGACTTGTTTTGGAAATGAAATAATCATTCTACTTTTTCTTCTTCCAACCACAACCCCATAACACAAAACATTTTTATTATATAAAAACATGAAAATGTGTCGATGAAATCAGTATACAACTTTATATGATGTTATTTCTCTTGTACCAGCAGAAAATTATTTTTTAAATCAAGAAAAAAATTAATCAAGTAGCATTCTACTGTATTTATCCATTAAACGATCATTGTCATCTCTAACAAAATTCGTATCACTTCACTGAAGAAGAACTGAAAAAGTTTCCCATACACTATTTGATTGAACTCTTATATGCAAATTGCCAATAGAGTACTGAAACAATTTCCATTGACAAGTGCAACTATCCTGTTTCATTAATTACAATCGACCTGAATGGCGCACTCACAAACGGTCCACCAACTTCAAAATCAACATGTAATTTATGTAAAGCAGCTCTTGATGAATTGTAATTCAGAATTGAATAAATATATAAATCAAAAATCAAACAATTCGTGAACATAACACTCCCAAAAAGGGGGGCAAACCGCGGACACGTTTTTCTGGCTATTTGCCCCATCAGCGCGGTGCAGCCAAGTGTAAAGATGGGCAACGCTTGTTTTCCGAAAGCAGGAAACAACACATACGCACGGAGTCAACAGCAGAAGCCAACCGCACATTTGTGGTTCCAGTTAGAAGACCTAGAATTCTCAGGCTACATCTAACATGACCACGTAGGCAGCTATAGCTACCTGCCTGACATCCGGGTCCAGGATATAAATACGAATAGAGATTTTATCGAGTGTACATGATACAAATCAAAAATGAAACAATTCGTGGACAGAACACTCCAAAAAAGGGGGGCAAACCAAATAAGAATCATCATAACAGCACTTTAGATAATAGCCCACCGAAAATGCTTTGTGTATTATATTTTATG